CACACACACACACACACACACACACACACACACAGCAGTGCATATAGCACCCAGTGTGTGCATCCACAACATCTTTGTATCAGATGTAACAATCAGTAAAAAGTTGGTAACGTCGAAAATGTGAAGATCTGACAGCTCGACAGTTTGTGATTTAGGTTGCACACAACCTTCACTGTTTACACACACAGACACTTCACTTGGGAACACACAACTTGTTGCTGTGGCAATTACAGTAATGTAGCTTGGTAAACATCAGAGGACAGGAAAGAAGTGCTGTGTGTGTGTGAGAGAGAGAGCGAGAGACACACACACACACCGCCATCCTCGAAAGCGCTGAGATGATTGAAAATTGATTCTGAGCAATTTTTCTGCCCTTGTGATGCACAACAACAGACAGACTGCACACACACAAACACTCACATATTGTACACACATATCACAACACACTCATGTACACTTAGTACATGCATACACATGCTGGTGCTAGTCTGGGTTAATGTGGGGGCTCTTAAGGAAGTGCAGAAGGCCACTCTAAACCCTATTCATCACTCAGACCACCAAAGAGAGAGAGAGTGAATATCCCGCCTAGTAAATTGACTTCTTAGTGACTTTGGAGTGGATTTTCTTCCTCCGTTTGGCGCCAATGCACCTGATTCAGTTTCATCTCCACTTAAATGATTTTTTAGTGAATGTTCAACCCACCACGTTATCTTTTCTTCTCAAACTTCCTCTTCCTTTTCATCCTTCTCTCTTTCTCTCTCTGTCTTTTCCTCTTCTCCTAAATTGGTCTTGTTTTTGGACTTCCCCAAGGTTTAACCCCTCACCTCTGCCCCTTAAGCCTGAACTGGGAGGCTGGCTTCATTAAAAGAGGCTCCCGCTGAGCCCAGCGTGTGCGTGTCCGTGCGTGTGTGTTTTTGTTTGAAGGGGCTGGGGGTATTAGACCCACACAGGAACTATATCATGCTGCTAAGTTAGGAACCTTCTGAAAGAGAAGACACACACACGTCCACCCACAGACGCACGCACATGCACATGCACGCACCAATCCTAGACATAGTCGCTGCTGAAACAAACAGCTGACAGCCTCTATCCATGATGTGTAGAAAAAGAGATTTAACCGCACACACACACAGATGCGGTGCCACACGATGCTGATACTGTACATGCATCAAATTCACAGCAGCAAGGACCGAAAATGTTCTGTCCCATTTCGCTCTCTTCCTTGTGTTGCACTTTTTCTTTGACATCCACCCTAAGAAAGATAAATCTAAAAAAACTTGGTGTCCCTGTTTCCTCCCTCCGTCCACACCAAGCTGTTATTTTTCACACTCAGTAACTGAGCTGTTTGAGAGCGCAGATAAATCTTAAAATGCTGGCCTCAGGTTTTGGAGTGCACCAGAAAACTTGAGCTTTTTGAAAACAATGAAAAAGTCTTTGGTCAGGAATGTTACCAAAAAGCAGTTAAAATGCCGGCTTCCTGTAACCTCTAATCCTCGCTGTGGTCACACATTTTAAATGTCAGCATAGATGCACAGACCACTCTTCGTCCTTTATAACGATTTGGCCAACGCCTCGGTGCGCCAAAGCCGGGCAGCGTTTGCTTTTCGGTCTCATCACAGAAAAATGTGTTAATGGCAATACAAAATTGTGAGTTTGGCTACAATGAAACCAAGCATCAGGCTCCGGGGCAGAAAAGTAAAACCAACAGTAAAGTGTCAAAAACTCAAACTCCTCAAATGGCCACTTGAGGCTGACTCCAAAAGCAAGGAAAGCCCCAAAGAAGCCTGTGTTAAAACACACAACTTTCTAACACAAATAATCATATTTACAGTCCTTCCAAATGTAGGGAGGGTTACAATTGTTACAGCTGTGCATTGCTTGGGGTGTGGATTTCCTTGCATGAGCAGTGGTTGTCTGGGTTAACTTCAGCTAATTTGAGCTGGTCAATTCTACTTCTTAATCAAGTTTGTGGGTCCTTCTGGAGTATTTTCATGCTATTATCTTACAAATAAGATAACTTGGTGTTTGGGTAAAAACACAACATCCAAGAATGCTGCACTCCATTTTCTTTGAGTGAAATTCTAGTGTTTATTAGTCTGTTATTTAGCTCTAATTAACACCTAATTTCCAGTATAGTCCCTAAATGAACCTTAAGTGACAGTGGTTAGTGGCTATGATTTGTGTACAGACTCAATTTAAAACAGGTGAACAGGAGGGCAAAGCGGACCAGTCTGACTATGTGAGACATCTGTCCAGATGCTGGCTGTATGTGTCTGTTTTCACACTGTTGAAATCCATTTTGGTGCGAATGGATCTTCTACGGATCTTCCTGTTTTTCTCACCTCTGGTGGTCCAGGATGTGTGTGTGCGCATGTGTGCGCGCGTGTGTATGCGCGACAGAGTCAGGTCTTCAGTGTTAAGAGCTTAGAGCTGCTTTTCTAAAGGACCTTTTCAATGTGAGGGGGGCTTTTGACACCCTCCGTGTCTAAGAAGACCTAAGCATGAAAGAGCACTACTCAATTCTCACACATGCACCCCTCATCCTTTCCCCTCCTCCCTGTTTTTTGTGTCTCACGCCGGACACACATACACAAACTCTTACCTACTGTTATACAGTTTCTGAATCTCTTTTGTACGAAGCC